GAAATAGAACTCTTTTGATATACTAAGGGAACCAATTAGAATTTCTAGCAAATCACCTAGCATATTCTAAAGGTTCAGGGAACCTACGGGAAGTGTGCAGTTGCCCCTTCCTACATTACTGGTATCATCTCTCAAATTTTGGTTTTTGTTTCACTATTATCTATTTATGTCAAGATGATTAGCATATTAAGAAACTGGAGCTTGGCAAGAAAGCTTTTTGTTCTCTAATTGTACATCATCTAGTGACACGCCTAGTTTTTTCTCATGCATCATCCTATGATATCACTGAGTGATGCTCTGTAAAGTGTCCTTTTACTCTTTTTTTTTTTGTTTGTTGGGGGGGGGGGGGGGGGTTGTCTTGGAGTTAGCACAATTTATATCCCACATAAATAAAACTAAAAAGCATTATCAGGATGTTTATAAAAATTCACCAAAACTTCCACAAGGCATTAGTCTATAGTCATTGGATAGAATAGCGTGTGAAGTTAAGAGTTTATGTATTGAATGGACATTAAATCAATTCTTTTTCAGCTAATCATGAGCTAGCTTGGCATCAAAGCAAGCAAGAAAGGGAATGTGAAGGAAGAGAAGGAGCTAAAGAAGAATGAAATAATCAAAATTTGTCTTATTCAAAAAGATTCCAACTACTTGGCAAATCATTATTTCTGAGGAATATACTGGGACATCTATGAGCCTACAGAATGTGGATAAATAAATTCTTAAAGAAAGACTACCACAGGATTGTTCCTAGTGTTCTGCTACTAAAGCTTACCTGTTTCTGGATTTCACATCTCTGTACACTATCAAAAACACCTTCATTTTCTTAAGTATTCAATTAACAAATCTTTGTTAAATAAAAATACAAGAAAGACAATGAAGTCCTACTCTTGATATTGCCTCACAAACTGAACCACAAGTCCTATTTTCAGACCAACAGCAATGTTGTTCTCCCCGTATAAGTACTGTAGGCTGCTCTATACTCAATATCTTAAGATATATTGATCGATAAGATTAACTTCAAGAAGAAGGACCACATGATAATTTAACAGAGAAAAAAACAAAAAGAGCATAAAGCGCCCAATGAATTTTAGAACTGGCAACACAGGTAAGAAAGCCATCTTTAACTGATTGTAGCTCTCATCTATATGCTGTTAATATACAATTTTATAAGAAGACATGCCATTATAATTATTCTTGAATTCCATAACCATTACAGGAAAATTTAACCTGGATCTTCCAAACCTTTAGACTGGAATGTAAAGCAAAGAATCAAAACAATCAACACTAAAGGTGTGCCCAGATAAAAATCACAGTCATGGTAGAGTAAGGAATTAAAATACGGGCATCTGCAGTCACTAACCAATTATCTTGTGCCCATCTGCAACCATCAGTATCCACCACATGTAAACTGTAAGCATGTCTTGATTGTGATGACCGATTCTCAAAACTGTAGACCAAATAAGTTAAAATAAAAAATCATGATGAAGGCATGGAATAAACTATGTTAATTAAACATCTATACTCAACAAAGATCAGAATTTTCTTCCTACTTAACCACTAATCATTGTTCAAGTTCCTGAGAAAGTTACCTTTGGTGGATAAGATCTCCATGAATGACTACCAAAGACCCTGCTTTCACTTCAACAGGAACAAAATCTTTTTGGTCATAGGATGGAGATGGCTTATCAAAATGTACACCATTCTCATCTCTAATGAATCTCCTCACAAGGCCATCTGTAAACAATCAAATATTCTTTATGGCTTGATTTGGTATGCTTCTGGGAAAGAAATAAAAACTAAATAGAGGAAGATTGTTACTTTTATGGGATCCAGGAATGGCCCAAAGGCAACCATTTACGAGTGTTGCATCTTCTAAAGCAAGCCACAGCCCTGTGCAAGTTGATGGTTCAGTATAGAGGAAGGAGTTATCCTGGTGCGGCACTACTTCACCTCCAATACCTGGTTGCTGAAATTAAAGTTTAAAATGTTATGACGAGAAACCAAGCATGCACGATAACATCAGCATCTAAATCGAAGAAAGTCATCAGGTCAATTGGCATCACTTTAACAGAAAAACTTCCATGTTAATTAAAAATGTTTAAAATTAACTATTCATTACCAGTGAAAAAATTAGGCTTCAAAGTTATTTTTGAGTCTTCAAAATATAAGCCATCCAAAGTTTGTGCATCATTTACTGAGAATTACATCCATTTCAGTTATGCCTTAGGTCGGGAGAGGAATGTCAGAAAAAACGATGGATACTGCATGAAGACTTCTTCCTTGAAACACATTAAAGTATAGAACTTTTCAAACATATATCCTAGTATTGTCCAAATATAAATGCAGAAAGATAAGGACTTTTGACAAGAAACCTTTCAAAAACTTAAGATTCACTCCTTTTGTAACTATTGGAATTTGGAAGTAGCACAGCATGCATTCTTCATTCACAATGAAGCTAATACCATTAATGAAAGCTACTTGCATTTCAATAATAACAATGAAAGGAATACCTTAAAGATGTACATGGATTGGATAATAACTGGTTTTTTGTAACCCAATGAAAGCAACAACCCAGACAGCTTATCTGACCTAGAGAACTTCTTAAATACCGGATCAAGCTCATCTAAGGCTGCAAAACAATACTTATTGTTAAAATATTTTTCAATGCCAGTATAAATTAATTAAATAAGCACAAAGTTCCTTCATAGCATACCATGTCCAACTTTGTTGATTGAGAGTTTCTTCGGTTGCTTCAAGTTACCATCCTCATCAAATGCTTTCTCTGCAAAGCAACTTTTATCAGCATACTATACAACACATGAAATGCAAATCAACAAGTCAAGTTCAAGGCACTTCTATCAAGACTACTGCAAAGTACAGTATACCCATTAGCAGATATCAAGAGACTTATTGAAAGCAAAGAAAAAATATTTTATAACGTTTAAATTGCATCTGATTATCTAATACCCTTAACAGGCAAATCACCAGTGTTGGGCCTTGGTAGGTGTGCATCAAAAGTCAGTGGGTTTTTTGTCGGAAGGACAGGAGAAGAGACTTGTGGAGAAGGAAAGGGAGGGGTGGAAAAAGTTTGAGAAGAAAAGGAAAAACAGTAGGATGAGAGAAGTCTATTTCCATGAAACCAGCAGTATCTTTTCTACAATATCCAATGAAAACATGAATAATTAGGTAAGTAGCCCACTTGTGAACCGTATAAATTTCATCAGGAATAATCGGAACAAACCAAAAAAGGGCATCTAAACTTAAAAAATTTCTACTTTACTTCAATTCCACATACGATTTTCCTGTTTATCCTCCCAAACACATTAAATTCAAATAAAAGACGAAAATGGAATTAGTGGATCAACAGAAGGACAATAGCTCACGAGTCAACAACCACAATACCTTCAAAGAAGAATGAAATCTTCTCAGCACTTTCAAAGAAGTAGTCATTTGTAGCATGTTGCTAAACAAACAAACAAATCCCAGAAAAAAAAAATCAATTAAAATCAAAGCAACCCAAAAAAAAAAAAAATCAAAACTTGATTAGCTGCCAATCATAGTTTTAACAATTCTTACGTGGGTCTTGGTGGAAAAAATAGTGGAAGTTGTAGAAGGGTCAAATTCATCAAGCAAATCATCCATTCTTTTCCTCATGGATTCTATCTCCTCTGGGCTTGAAAATGATTCCATCACCAAGTATCCTGTTAGTATCAGACAGCATTCAAATTAATCAAGAATCAAATCTTCCATCAGCTCTATTGTTCATAAATTAAAAGCCCATATAAATTATTACTTAGACCACCAAAAACAAAATAGATGATGTGGGATTATTACCTTGGGTATTGAAGATGTTAAGCTGGTCTGAGCTGAGGCTTCCATGGATGCCCATGTTGACTTGTTTTATTCTTCTTCTTCTTCTTCGTGGCAGGCTTGAGAATCCCAGAAAAATGCACTAGACTACTAGCTATAGTTATCTGCTCCAGTCAGGCGAATAGTAGAAAATCCCAGCATCAGCTGCATCTATTTATAGTGTTCCTTTTGTTTTGGTTTCGTGGTCTTACCCTTCTTTTATTTTCCTTTTCCTTCTATTCATGTTTTTCGTAGTTTGGTTTTTTAGCCTATTTACACTCATGGTACTTGTGAAAGTATAGAAAAACATATGTGCTTATCTATTTTGTTTCGATGCCAACTTTTGCTAGGAACGGTAGCTTTTGTTCTTCATATAATTTCAGTGACAATATAAAAGATTAGGGTACATGGGGTGACTGGTAGATAGGGGGTAACATGTCTAGAATAAAATTGTAAGGAGTAATATGGATACAATTTGTAACTTAAGAATGCATAGCGTCAATGTGAGATTTGATGTAAACCTTAGGGCTGCAAGTTAATTGATACAAGTCCAACTATTGATGAGCCTTCCCTTTTTTTCTTCCTTTTTCTTTTATTTTCTTTAAAAAAAAAAAGAAAAGCCAAGAAATCTTTTTTATTGCTTAGCAAGAAGTAAGAACAATCGGAAATCATGTTCACGAAGTTAACTCAGAACTTGCAGGATAAAAATTTTAATTGATCTGAACTACATTTGAGTAAGCCTTAATTTTTGCAATGAAAGAAGTCCCAATGTTTTGTGCGTTTTGAGCCTTCAGAAGCACGATGTTGTTCAACAAAACAAAAATTTAGGAGTATCGATGAAGAGATGATGAGCAAGCACCTTTCAGGATAGGGTGAATTCCTGTACAGTATCTCATTTCCTTTTCATGAATTTTCATGCCAGGGTTGGACAATCATAAAACTCAAAATCTAGCAAGGTCAGAAGGCAAAAGAAGCAGAAGATCAACAGGTGTTCGAACCATTGTTCCATACATTGTTAAGCTCATAAACAAGATTCTCAATCAGCCTCGTGCCCCAAAGAGTCCTGCGACCCCAGAAGAAAGTTGAAAACTATCAAGGCCAAAGTATGATATGATACGAGCTATGCAATGCAAATTCAATACAAGGGCAAGTATCAAACCAGAAACCAAAGCAGTGCCATTGGTAAAAGGGGCATCCGAAGTGAAAAATTTGGAACCCCAGTTTTATAGATATGGACTTTTCATTCTGATTCTAAAGTCTTACAATGCTAATACATCTAACTGATGTACAAGATACAAAAAGGGCGCAAAAGGACTGGGACACTATATCGTGTGTCGATTTACATCGTGTTAGATACAACAGCTGCAAGACGAATTGATGTTAAGTCAATGCCTGAGAAACTGGTGCGGTTGAAAGATCTTCTGGCATCATTTTGCAGATTGATGCACTTACCGCTCAACACGTCCCCAGGAGATACTAATCGATCAGTCATCCAACAATTCCAAGAATCAAACTTCGGCCCTCTCCCAATTTGAGAGGGGAAAAAATGAAAGAATCACAATCAAGACGTTAGCAGCAAGAGGCACACACAAAATTACAGCGGGCATACACCTTGAACTATTTACTGGGAGAGATCACGTTACTGATGACAATTTTGAATCTTCTGTTCTATTCTGTCGGCACATGCAATCTGGGCATGGGAACGAATATGGAGAGTCATTTGGCCTTTTGAGCTCAATCCCTTTGGAATCACTATGAGCTCGCATGCTTAGCATTTGCCTCTTGAAGCTCCTCCACCTGGAGACAAGGTCACTAAAACATAATTAAATAGGTAAAGATACATTAATATCATATCAAAAGCAAACTTAAACCCATTGATGTCATTATGATAGGTGAACACATGAATGCTGCATCATTTTCTGCCCTCAAAAACTTTAGACAACAAACATATATACTGATCCAATAAAAACCCCCACCAAAATCAAAAGCTTATTTCCTGCCTTCTAGGAAAGCTATATAGTTCTCTCTAGGTTGCTTGGCAACACGAAAGAAGGTTAATAGGGCAGCATATTATAACCAAGGTGCCTTTCATAGTGCTTTCACATTTTGCAGAAATACGCTAACTGGGCTTCTCTCCAGCTGAAGCATGCTATTAAACCAACTTAGAGGCCGCCTTTACACTCTCTTGCACCATAACCAGATTAACATAAGGAGTCCTTGCACGTGGGCACTAAACTATAGCATACAAATGCTGTGATTAAAGACAAAAACAAAGCTCAGAAAAGACATCATACCCAATATTTGGATTATCAAAGATTACTGCCAACTTTCGCTTATCAGGCTTAACCGTCCGGGAATGTCCGCCATACAAAAATCTTCTATGGCCCAAAAGAAAATGGGGAAAGTTTCCACCTTGAGTTGTCACAAATACTTCGCTGTGAAGACAAACGGTGTAGTCTATAGCAGCCATCCTGGAAGAGTAATTCTTAAAGCAGTAACTCAAATTAAAACTTGATCTTCAATTAAACAAAATATAGTACCACAAAAGAAATTTTAACAATTAAAATCAAATCATTCAGACCTGAAATGGTGCTAGCTCTTCTTCAGATGCGAGCATTTCTTTTGTTTGTAAAAGCGGAAACATTTCGAGCAGAGGAGCCATATACCTCTCAGAATCATATATCTTTCCAGACGCTAAAAATATAGCTGTATTTTTATCAAAACCCATCCCCCGTAGCATCAAACCAACCTGATCAAATACATGATAATACAGACACAATCAAGTGGATGGACAATTTAGAAATACGCACCATTGAAGCATCCATAATTTAAGTCATTGCAAAACGGAGAATGAAAAATCGTCCAATGTGAATTGGACGCATGGCTGGAATGATTAGGAGGGTAAGAGGCAATGTGGAAGAAGACCACAAAGGTCAATAGTTAGTTTAATCATTTTAGAAGAGTATAATGAGAAGAGAATAAAAAGCTAGATGGGTCACCTTCATTTCAAATTGTCCCCACAAACTCCCTTCATCCTAGTTAAATTGATGTACTTGAATTAAAAATCTTTGCAACTAAACATATCAATAAAGAGTCTTTCCTAGAATTTGGTAGTTGATGACTTTAAACTTTTGATAGTGGACAATTCTTCTCGAACCACCAGAAAAGGACATAAGGACAATCAAAAAGTGGATGGAAGGAGAACTACTCCTTTGATGTCAAAATTGTTCCCGATTTATAAAACTTGATTTGGTTCTTATCAACTTTTTGATTCATAGTTGGATATAGGCTCTTTCTGTTGAAGATAATACTGATTCCTATATGATAAATGTATATTTGCTTCACGTATAACTTTTATGAATTGAATTCATGTCTAGGTATCCAGACATGACTTGGAAACAAATTCATAAGTGGATGCTACACCAAATTGCATTCAACTTCAGGTTCCACCACAGGTACCTGACTTGCTACCATTAGATTTTTACTTAAAACTGACATCCTCAAGCACAAAATCAGTTTGAAACTGTAAAGCTCCATCTTGACTCTATCCCAACTAGGATGTACTTTGCCACTTCAGACTTACCAAATGGAAATGAAAAGATATTAAATTTTGCATCCTGATTACTTAAATATGCTTCAAAGCACACAGAAAGGTACATTTCCATACATTCAAGCACATAATCTTAAATATTAATGGTAAATTCAAAAAACAAACATAGAGGCTACATGGCACTACTAATACCATTAGATAAAGAAAATAGCATGAAAGTACATAACCCATAAGCAAAGGAGGATACAAGTATAGATTGATCATTGAGTAAACAAAACCAACTTCTGACAACATAATTGGAGGAATTAAGAATGAGCAACTAGAAACATCAAAAGAGAAAATAAAATTAGTACCTCTAAAGGAGTTAAAGGACATTTTCCATTGACTCTGATTGCTCCAGGACTAATTACTCGACCAGGTTTGGTAAATTTGCCCTTCCAGCCTCTTTCCCTAGCAGCATCCATATCTCTTTTTTCACTTTCTCCACCATCATATACACAACAAGAGAAAGCAACCATGTCCTGCATAGAACAATATGACTAGTCATCCGAACTCTTACAAAGTCTTATCTTTGCTCAGCAGCAAGACAGAAAATAATTTCCCACAGTTTAACCAACCTCCTCAAACCGAAGATGCACAGAAATGTACTTGCCACCATTGTTTACACTGTGTTCTTTCATTCTTGCAACCAAAGTTTCACCCATAGTCAAAATAGGATTAGAAAATCTTAAAGCTTGATAATTTGCCAAACACCTAAGCCGTTGAACTGCTGGAGGAGCATCAAAGGACAATCGATTTGCAAAAGGAGAGATCCTTATGATCCTGAATTCGCAACAGGAAAGAAGAGTAAAATGGTTAACTCTCTGGAAACCAACATGAAGAAAAAAGACAAGGTTACTGCAACTAACCTAAAACATTTCACACCCTTACTTATTGCAGTTCATGGAATTGGTGGAAAAGGAACTCTAAAAGATTTCACTGTTTAACATTATTTATCAAAAACAGACAGGTATACTGGACCAAAAATTTCATTTTCTACCAGAGATGGTTTTCCTATGATGGACTCCTCACACAAAGAGAACAATGCTACATTTCAACAAAATTTGGAGCCCTTCCAGTCATTCAAACGGCATGTCAAAAATAACTAAAGCACCAGCACTACCAGCAGATCCATCCCTTAGCAAGGCAAGCATTAACATATAAGAAAAGAAAAAGGTGACACCTATTAACATTAGTACAGAAAGATAAAGAAAATCTTTAGCTCATTTCATCATCAATGACCAAAGCCCACTGAGAGGCAAGCATTTCCCAAAGAAAATACAGTAAGTATAATAGCTCACTTTTCTTCAAGTAGCTTTGGCAGAACAGTATCTCTGTAGAACTGGATGGATGACCATGCTTTTATCCTAAAGTTGTAAACATTGGTCATATTGTAGTCAAACCTTTCCATTATATACCCAGGAACCTTATCCACCACTCTTACATCATTTTCCAGGGTTTTAATAAAATAGTCTTCATCAAAAATCTCTCCGAATTTGCTGCACATGAAAGCCAAAATCAGAATCCATAACATCCTGCTCAGAACACTAACCAAACAACTGTGAACAATGGAAGTTCTGGCTTTCTCCAAAATCTCATAACAAGTAATCCCAAGACCAATCAAAGGATTTTTCCCATAATACCCTCATATATGTGTATATACACACACACTCAAAAATATAAACATTGTATATGCACAGACAAACTACATTGATTAGTCTATAGGTTGATGTTCATATATGTTTGAGCAAGCATATGTATGCACATACAACAGAAGATCTTTTACAAACAATTTGAAGAACAAGCAAAAACATGCTTCATATGCATAAGCAACCTAGAAACTACACTGTGCATCCATGTATCGCAAATGTATGCATAGTTTGTAGTATGTTTACTTGTGAGTATATTAATGCGTGTGTGTATGTATATATTTTTATATGATTATTGATGCTCCTAGCAGTGAAGGTCCCGCAGCACAACCAGAGAGGCAGAATAAGCTGATTTATTTTTCTGTTTAATCTAAAGTGTTCCAAAGAGCCCAAGTACACGATGTCAGCAGTTAATCCACTAAAAATCAAGTTTTAGCCCATTCTGAAATATAATCATAGCCATGTATGTAAATCGCAAGCATAGTGACATCCTTGGAGTATGTCAATCACAAGGAATAATTCATTAAAGAAACATTAAAGCTAACCCACCTAGCATCTCTCCAAATACTGTGAAAATGGAAGTGGGGAATTACAAGGGTTGCATTAAGATAACCGGCTACAGCAACAGCATTGCATATCTGGAAGCATGAAATCAACAAACTGAGAAAGCAAGAGGCAGATAATGCATTATAAATACTCAACAGTCATTAACTAAGAGTGAATAAATAACTCAAGACATATGCAATTACCGATCCCCTCTGTTGATTCAAGCCACCATTTGCCTCAATATAAATGTATCCATTGGACTCAGGTAAGCCTAAAATAGCAGTTGTAAACCACTATGTCAAAATTTATGCAAAACAATCACAAGGCAAACATCTTGGGAGAAATAAACATTCATGAATGAGAAATAAAATGACTTAGATTCCCAATATGCTTACATGGCAAGACAAAAGTAAATATATAATTCATGTTCAGCTAAATAAATAAGGAAGAAAAGTAATAAGAAGTCAAATTCACAAAATCCAAGTAATAAGAAAAGTAACAAGGAACCTTGAGATCAAATACAAAACAATGCATGCCATTGGTATAGCAAAAATACAAATTCTCTTTCCTAAACTTGACTGCTAGTAAGTTGAAGTCCACTCCTACAAGTTCTCTTTCCTAAATTTAATTGCACCTAATTAAGGTCCATTAATGTTCATATAGCAAAAATACAAGTTCTCTTTCCTAAACTTGATTGTAACAAAGTTAAAGTCATTACCGTGATTCATTTCATCGAAAGTATAACAACATCCAAAGATATATCATAAAACCTAATAGCTGTAAGATCATTGGAAGTATAACAACATCATTGAAAATATAACATCCAAAGAAGATACAGATATCATAAAACCTAAATCTGCAAGAAAAAAAGATCTCCAGAATTTCCAAATTTGAGAGAATCAGCAGGTCATTAGCAGAAGCATTGAAAAAGAAAAGGGCAAAAAAAAAAAATGTATAATAGGGTGGATGAGAGAATATGATAATCATGATTTATTCATGACTAACACAGTAGTGTACCTCCTGAAGACATGTTTATGCATGGTCTCCACTCACCGACTTTATAGGAGTGCTTCCATATGGATGATATCTGCATTAAAATGTATCATATTCAGCAGATAAGGACAAAGTTCAATTTGAATATGAATAATCACAGCAACTAAAATAAGGAAAAAAATCACTAGTTTACTTTTTAGCACTTTTCAACTTCAATTACTTGGACCATATGAAAAAGCATCTTGATAAAAAGCCATATAATCCCACAAGTTCTTTGGAATAAAAATAATTTTACAAAATAGAACAAAAGACAAGCATATAAGAAGATTAAAAAGCCTGAAGAGAAAATTAGCAGGTTACCCAATATCTGTCTGCACAGAGTCAGTAAATTTATTAGTATCATTTATAACCTTATCTTATTCCAAAGCTAAAATGCAAGATAAACGTCAAAGACAGGATTTACATCTTTTTGCATTCCGTGTAATTCTTTACCAACTACAACAATTCTTGTTAGCCAATAGCATAGTTAACATTCAGCTTACAAGATCCAAGGTTATGGCAGCAGACTATGTGAATAGGGTTCAAAGTTTCTTATTTTTCAACGCACACTTGCTCCTTGTCTCATATTAGATCCTAGCTCTAAATTATTCATCAAAAGCATAGGAATATCTAAAGTAGCCTGTTTTTACCGAGGCAACTGCATATGCATGTCCAAACTAGCCTATTTTCCTATCATAAGGACAAGGTAATACAACAGATAAAGGGCAGAAAGCCTTTTCATAAAAAGGCCAGCCAACAATCCAAGAATCATCCAACGTAAGAGCAACAAATTTCAAGTTGAAAATACTGTATCAAAGAATCAGGATTCACGCATTCATCAAGCTACCAAGAATTGCCTACTCAAAAATTATAAAGAACAGATACCTTTACTTGGTCCTAAGAGCTCATTTCTAAATTCCAAACCAGCATTCAAACTCCCGGATTCTCATCTGCATTTTGCTCTTTGTTCTTGCTCTTTCCGCTTAGACAACTAAAAAGATTCGATACTTGTTTCACAAGTAATTACACGATTCTGTCCACAAAAGCCCAGAATTGTACGATTACTATTAAAAAGCCATCAACCTTCCAGTTTTGAGGAAAAAAACCCAAAATTTTTTTTTTTCCTTTCTGTTTTAGCACCAACCCATGTTTTATGCTCTTTCCAGATCTACCCTCACCGATATTCTGGTCTCTGATAAAATTTTGAACTTTAGTTCTTACCAAATTACAACCTATCTATTGACATGCAAAATGAGCGAAACTACAGAACTCATACCAAACATATCTTCCCACCAAACAAAGGGAAATGGGGGAAAAAATTGTAAAAGTGAAAGATCCTCAACTGTTTGAAACTTGGTTCCTATTACAGCACTAAAACAAATGTCAAAATCAATGAATAAAACCCTTTTCAGTGTCACTATCAATTACAATCACAATCTACATTGTCACTTCAAAAAATAAAAAATAAGAAAAAATAAAAAACAGAAAAGGCTTAAACTTTAGAACCGAGAGAAAAGCTAATTTAAGTTAAAATAAATTTAAAAAACCAAAAAAAAAGGAGATCCCAAATGGGTTTTCCACAATTCAACCAACTAACCGCATCAGCTGAAGAGTTATCGGAATCCATCTCGGGTTTGAGCTTAGCATAGAGCTGCGGGCTTCTATAAACCGACCCGGGTGCGCGCCGGTGATTAATAATCGGAACTACATCAAACGACACCGTACCCATGTAAAACAGCATTCCGGAGATGTACAGCAACGGGGCAAAGAGGAAAATCCCTTGTCGACGTAGAAGAAGCGAGAGAATGAGCCAGGCAATCCGCTGAGCGGCGGTTTTCGGGCCGGGTTGACCCGGAGTAAAACGCCCCTGCTTGCGTCGGAGCCGGGGCGAACGGGAAAGTGGGGATTGTGGAGGTGATGGGCTGCTGTGTCCGCTACTTGGGATCCTAACTTTTGCGTGCATCTCTTGATTTCTTCACATTATACAGAATTTTTCCCCCAAAAATTTTCAAACTTCTCTTATTGCTGTCTTCTTCGTTCCAATTTTTTGGGGGTTGCTTTTTTCTTTTTCTTTTTTTCCTTATTTTGGGACAGGTAGAAGAAAGAGTGAAGAGAAGGAGATTGTGTGTGCTTTTGGTGCGTGTTTCATGGAGTGGAAGAGGGAAAGAGGAGAAGAGCAGAGGAGACAGGAGGGCGCACGTGACCTGAAAAGGTGGGGTATGTGATGGAGGAAGAAGGGCACGTGCTGAGAACAGAGACAGAGTATGATGGTGGGAAGAATACTTAAATTGGTAATGTTGGGGCTGGAAAAAGGTATCGACCATGTATTTATTGTTGATCACTTGATCATTGGAAGGAAGAAAATGGTATGTTTTTTGTGTACTTTTTATTGTGGGTTTGGGGAAATGAAAAGATTAGAGTCGGAAAGAGGAGGGTGTAAGCTATGAGTTTTAGTTTATTTAATCTATGGGACTTCGTCTGGATTAAGGAATTTGATGAAGGATTTAAGAATCATTCAATGGAATTTTGTATGAATCAAGGAGTTTGATGATAGATTTAAAATTTATCCAAATTGGTCTAGTCCGAATTGTTTAAAATGCATTTGGATTTGTAATTTATCAAAATTATCTAAATACATTTCTTTAAATAGGAAGAGAGGTAAATTTTATTAATAGCATACTAAATCTGCTTCAAGAGCATAATAACAAAGCAAGGTAGATAAATCCAAAAATCTCATAAATAACTACTCTAGTGTAAATTACATTTCAAACAATAGAATAATTAGTGATCTATAAATCCAAATACCTCATAAATAATCTAAACTATTAGAGGGAAATGAGAGGATTTCAAATTTTTCATCAAAATCCCTCGATCCAAACACAGCCTAGTAACTCGAATAAGGGTTACTTTCGTTAATAAATTTGAATTTGTGTCTAAAACTTAGTTTGAGCAGAATCTTACGGGTTGGATTCTTGTAATGAAATTTGAAATGGTGTCTAAAACTAATTTGTTTATTATTCAATTGTGTCTAACTCTATCTAGTTTTTGTGTTACTCCGGCTGACATTTTTTGTGTTACTCTCTAATTAGTTTTTGTTTAACTCAATTTCATTGGTTGTTAAACCAAACCAATGTTGAGTTAGCTCTTGTAGAGACTAAGCTCAAATGGGCGGCACTAAGTAGCTCCGTCTCATATTCTAACTCTAGTTCAAGATGACAATGACAAATTTAGGCATTTTATGTCCTAAGTTCAGGCCGATTAAGCCCCGATTCATGTATATATATATATATGTGTGTGTGATCTATAATTATACACATTATAGTATAAAATATTAATAATTTATATACAACTTTAATCATTCATAAAAATTAAACATATAGTACATATAATTCTATATTTAATTATGAGTTTGAACTAAATCCAATTTAAACCCGAAAATCTTATTAAAGTGTAAACGAGCCTTACCTCCTAATATAAATGCAAACCCAAAAGCCTAAAAACTTCATTTAATTTGTCGGATGCGTTTGAACTTGCCAAAACCCGGCCTTCTAATATAAGTCCGAACCCAAAAGCCTAAAAGCTTCATTTATTTTGTCAAATTAACTCATGAAGCTCAATTGACAAGCCGAAAACCTAAGTCATGATGCTCAATTGACAATCGTGATGTGGAGATGATATCGAGTTGCCAACCGCAGCAAATCCGACAGAACGGGGAAATGGAAAAGAAAGCCTCGTACCAAAGGTCCGTGAAATCCATAGAATCCACCACCAAAGTTTAGGCCGATTATTACTCCAAAATTTACTGCGTAATTGGACCGTGTAGGCAAAGGGAAATAATTGATTGCAGCTCAAGTAAAACAAAACTCTTTTTCTTTCATTTGTATTAACAAATGCTAAATCATAATTTATTGTTTGATAATCACTCAATAGACAAAAAGAAAGCAGTCACATGAGGATGCGGATTATACAAGAAGTGGTCAGACGTGTGCCCAGATCAACAAACAATTTCCATTTCCATTTCTTCTTACATACATTTCGCCTCATGTCACGTCTAAATGCCCCTTTGAACAATCAGGAAGAAAATGGTTTGACATGTTAAACAAACCAACAAAGAAAATGGAGGAATCGTGCCAAACAGGCGGTAGAAATAGGTCTGTAAACAGGGAAATTATGGAGGCATTGACATTCTGGATCTAAACAGATTTCTGCCCCCACTTGCCCCCAGAACTAGAAGGACAAAAAATTTTCTCCCCAGAGTACCTACATTCAATCCAAACATGTTTTCTAATCTTTCAACCAAAACCCAAAGTGATATTTTTCCACAAAAATGGCCATCCAAGCACAACATAAAGTTAAACTAACAATCTTTACATTTTGCATCTTAAGATCCAACTGCAGTAGCCAAATCTGAGATGGCAGGACTCCCAAATTTTAAAATCAATCACCAAAGTGTGAAATTTTCAACAACAGAACTGATTCAAGTGTCACAAATTTATAGCAGGTTCTCAAATTCAGGAATAGTGCAAGATGGAGGAACTATTAGCTAACTACTAGTGCCACAATCACAACCAACACCTAATACTAGTGCAAGTAGAAGATATGCCCATGTACTTCATCAAGAAAACATAGTGGTAGAGAATGATCTTCCTCTGACTTTTTTTTTCCCATATTTTTACTCCACTGCTTTTTCTGGCAGTGGCAATTATCCATTTAAAGTCACTCAAGCTTCTCCATGTCACTAGCAATTGAGAAAATCATTACTTCTCCATGTCACTCCTCCACACATTCAAACCTGGTTTCACCAAATCAATTAGCAAGAAGAGAGGCAACATCACCCTTGACAAGATGTTCCAGGATTCATTTTCCCAACCCTCATGTCAACTTAACTACTCCTTGGCCTAATTTACATCCACTATAATTTGGTTTCAAGTTGTGCTGTTCCATATAACCATTAAAGAACACAAGTAAGGGCAAAAAAATGGGCAAGTACCATCTGTCCACAACGTTTAACTTTCACGGCTCAATTCATACACTGGAAGAGTTTGTCAGAGGGCGCATTTTTCTTTTTTTGATTGGTAGGGAGGAACTTTCTCTGCCATCCAAAATCATCCTAAACATCATCCTATATTTCTCATATTGTTATTCTGTTGCTTCCTACAAAAAATGTTCTTCAGCGACGTTATTACTGGCCTATCAATCAACGCACAAGAGGAAACAGACGAATTACAAAACTCAATCTTCATTAATATGACCACGACCTTAGTTCCTCATCATAGGTCAAACATTAAATTTTGTCCCAGATACCACCCCTCCCGTTGTACTATTTTTTCAATAAAAGCTAAATAACAGCAAATTTTGTTTAGATATACCAGTTCAGGAAGAACAAACATTCTACAAAACAAGCCAAATATACACCTCTGACTTCAACCATTATCAAGTACTCAATCACTAGCATAATGTAAACAGCTAATGCGGAATCTTTCATTAATGCACCCAATATATAGCATAATGCACAAAAAAGAGAGACAAATTTCGATATAAACTTCAGAAAAAAAGTAAGTAAAGATCAAACTCATAAAGAAAAGCAAGCATAGAGCAGTGGAATCAAAGGTCCTCCAATTAATCACTGGATCAATGATCAAAGTAACATGGTAGTTTCCACCAATCACATGACTAGAGTTACACTTGAAAAAAGTAATCTCAGACACACAATCTTCTTAGCTCATTAAGTAACCTCAATCAATCCAGATTTATTAATCCTTCACTAATCAATCATGAAGTATCCCCAAGATATCCTCATCCCTATACAAATGATACCTGCACACACCACACAAAACCAGAAAAAAAAAAAGATATATAAACAGGTGAACAAAACTCAAAATTTCTTTCATTCAAATGAAAGAAGAAAAAATAACACAAAAAAATGGGACTCACTCTTTTTCACCCAATTTGACCTGAGTGCCACCATATTCAGGCAAAAGCACTGTATCACCTTCTTTAACAGCTACTGGAATTGTATTTCCTGCCTTATCCTTCAACCCTGGCCCCACTGCCACCACTTTTCCTGAGTTAAGCTGTAACAAATTCCAAACACAACCCATCCAAAAAAAACCCGGAAAAATCAGCAATTTTCCCCGTACTGATAAAAAATAACAACAATATCTAAAATATGACCAAAAAAAGCATACTGGAATGACAAGTCACCTTAACCAAAACCAGTTTAAGAAAAAGGAAAAAAATCAGCTGTTTGACAACAAAAGGGAAAGAATTACCACTGGATCGAACCCATCAAAAACCCAAACAGAATCATCAAAATATTGACAGAGAAACTACTCTACAATGAAAGCAAACATTTTTTTTTTTGTAAAATTGAATACCCCTTATCAAAAAAAAATTTCAACAAACATTTAACAAAATAAACAACAAGCTTTCCATTGAAACCAAAAAAAAAAAAAGAATCATCAAGCAAATGACAGAAAAAATCAAATTCATACGGTGCTGTTTTTGCTCACCTTGGCGGATTTTTCTGGGAGAAGAATACCAGCAGTGGTTTTGGAGGGTTGGACAAGCTTCTCAATCAGAACTCTGTTGAGAGTTGGGATTAAACGCCTGGCCATTTTTGGTTTACAAAAAAAAATGCTGCAGAAATTTTGGTTTTTGGATATATGGGAATGGGTAGAAGATCACAGAAGTGAGGAGGGCTTGATAAAGAAACGGGTAGAAGGATTTCAGTAGTAGTAGAAGGTTCTAGGCTTCTTGGAGAGGGGTTTAGGGTTTTATAAGGGTTTATGGGTTTTTGCCATTGCAGCTGCTGTGAAGTACCGAATTATGAGTGCGGATGACTCTTGGTTGGTTGGGCTCATATACATTTGAGTTGGGCTTCACGACGATGGCCTTCATCCAAGAGTAGGTGAATATTTTGTTTAATTATTTCTTTGAGAAAACTTTATTATAATTCCTATGATGCTCTAATTATTGGGAATTTGATGAAACGTTGGCCATTAATGTATTTGTGATGTAGGGTTTTGGTAATTCTTTTGATGTTGGAAGGTTTTTGGAGTTTCATAGTGCTATTTTTGTTTGATTTTTCACAATTGTTGTATGTGTTATTTTTTTATTTGTATTTGTTGCATATTTGACGTATTTTCTACTATTAGTTCAGATTTGTAGCGTGAAACTATTTTGTTGTAAAAAAAATGTATATGTGTTGTGACATTCGTGAGAATTTATTTAATCAATAAATTACATGTTTTTCTGATTTTACTATTTACTACACCAATTGCTATTTTGCTGATATTTTTA